TTCTGCGGTGCTGTTTGGGATCACTCCTCATTATCATTAATCGAATCGTGGATGACGGTTCTGCTCGTAGCAGATCTGTTTCATCCATCCTGATAACCTTAAAGAATAACAGTCTTTCCTAACATTTGCCTGCTCCTCCAGCTTTCTGCCTCAGATCTGATCCCAAACAGCTCCTTTTCCTCCTCTTTTTTTTTTTTGTTTTGTTCCTCCTCTTCCTCTCAAAGCGTGACTCCAGCATGCCAGCTCCGAGCCAAAACTCTCCACTCTGTGCCTCTCAACCGTCCGGTCGGCTCAGAGCTCCAGTTCAGCTCCAAACCCCCCGCCTGCGCTCCGGCGTCGGACCCGGAGCTGGGACCCTTTGGAAGGAGGGACAGAACCACCGATAAACGCTTCAGGCAGCTGCTGTCCTAACGATCCATCGCCATGTGGAGGAACTCCCAGTTTGTTTAACTTACTGCTGTTTCTTGTTGTTCAGCTTTTTTTCTGCCTTTTGTGGGTCGTGTCGACGCTCCCCGGTTTTCCCTGGAAGTTGTAGGTAGCCTAATCCCTTTTTTTGCGAGGCCTTGTCTTTGCAAGGTGCCGTGTATCCCTGTGTAGTGGGGAAACCGAGAGCAGGGCGGGGTACAGCTCCGGTTCCGACTTTCTGCCGGTCGGGTTTGTGCAAAAAAAGCAGCAGCTTGGGTGCAGTCTAATACCTGGAGCGTTACCCCTCCCTGCTCCCAACTGTATGTATAACTTGTGTATAACAAACTGTTTAAAATAAACCTGTGTTTAATTTCTTCACTTATTCGTACTAATGATATGACCAACCGTGATAAGCTTCAGTGATTTCAACTTTCTTTATGTGGAAACATGAACCCAGAATGAAGGACCGTGGAGGTGACCTCACCCATTATGGAAGAAAAACTCTCATTAGAATCGCTCTTTTTTTTTTGTACAACGAATTTTAAGCAATTCATTTTTTTAAAAACAGTATTTTAAACACTGAATTTTTTTTTACACATCAAATTCATTCCACTGATTTTGTATCTGGCGAAAATTCCCCTTCAAAAATGATTCAATTGCAAAAAATTTGCCTGCAAAAGATTTAAATGCAAAAAAAATTCAGCTGCAAAAAAGTGAATTTGAATTTTTTTGCAGGCAAATCTTTACCTGATACAAATTCAGTGTGTAAAAAAATTCAGTGTCTAAAATTCTTTGTTATAATTCAGTGTTTAAAATACGCTGCACTAAAAAAGGCCGTTTTTCTTCCATAGACGAGGAACTCAGCAGGAATGTTTTAACAAGTTTTCCAACAATCCGTGAGCTTTCTTTCCCACCTTCTTTAGATTTCCTAAACATTAACATCTGCCCTTTATTACCTGGATTATGTTAAGTTTTGTGTTTCCGCAGCGAAGGTTTATTTAGTGGGAAGTAAGGAGGCGTAGTTGTTCTATAAAAGCAAAACTTTCTGTTAAGTGGGTTAATAAGCAGTAAATATCTGGAAGTGAATTTCGGTCGCTTGCTTGTCGGCTTCAGCTCTTTGTTGTTAAAAGATTTCCGACTTTTTTGCCGCTGATGAACTTTGCAGTGAAACCTGTTAGAGCTACGTGTGTGGATGCTTTTGTACGGAAGCTCCTTGATGACAAAACTTCCTGAAAACTGACTTGAGATGAAAAATTAACGGTAAAGACTCAGAAGATGAAAAGGCTGTTTGTTTTTTTCTGCAGCTCTGCATCAGTCCGCAAAAAAATTAGACCAAATTCATCACGATGCAATGTAGAAGAAAATTCTTTATCTTCTAGAAATTATTGAGAAAACATTTTTTGATTAAATTTCTTTGATTGACATTAGGTAAATAGTTTTCAGTAAACGGATATTTTGTTAAAAGAAGAGGAACCTCTTTAACTCAAACCTTTTTTGGACAGATGGTAGGAAGATATTTTTTCTGTGAAAAAGACTCAGATTGTAATGAAACCATAAGGAGCAGGCCTCCAGCCTCCAGGGGGCGCTTCAGAAAGCAGCTGAAGACAGGCTGGATTAGAAAACATCTGTGTTCACCTTATTTGATTGTTTCTAAAATAAATAAAAAATAGCTGTTTTTATAGTTGGAAAATAAAAACTGTCAGATTCTGAGTTTTTACCTAAATTCAGCTCCGGGTTCCTGGAATTGTGTCATTAACGGGCTTCCATAGAGCCGGAGTGATGTTGGTGTAAAGCAGCAGGATTGAACCCGAACATGTGAAGGTAGATCATCAAATGTGGGACTTTGATTTTTTTTTTCTTCCCACAGCTGATGGAGGAAACCCGACTCTTTCACCTCAAATACCTGGAAAACTCTTCACCTTGGGGGGGGGCTGCTTCATTTTTTTATTATTATTCTTTTGTGCTACGATCTATGGCAGTTTGATAAATATAGTGTGCATTCCTCTGTCACTGTAACCATAGTAACGAGACATTTCCTCATTCTGCACAATCAATAACACCTGGTTTGGGGGTAGGTGGGTAGGTGGGTGGGGTGGGCCTCAGGCCGGGGGGGGGGTCTTGGTTAGGTGGTCGGTGTGATGCGGACCGGGGGTCACTGCTAGTTGGATCTGCACCCGTAGATTTCTCCCCATCTCTGTTACATATGTGCAAAAAAAAGCCATTAAAAAGCTTTTAAAACAAAATGTCTTCTTTCTGTTTGGTTCATCTTCGACTCACAGATTTCTCAGAAAGGTGCTGAAAATATTGAGCTTCTCTGGTTCTTTGTGCTCAAAGAAAAGAAGCAAAAACTGCTCTGTTCACGTTGGTGCGGCTGCATCTACATGAAGCACAAGATTTCAGGCTGAAACGTGTTTGACGCCAATGAGGGGAAAGTATAACGATCGGACATAATCCTCCATTAAATCACCACAAAATCCTTATACATGCTTTTTGGCATGGGGGAGAGGAATGATGATGCGGGACTCAATTCACCTGCATCCTTTGAACGAACAATGACCTCTCTAGAACAAAGTGTTCTAGATTGGTTTAAAAGTCCAACTGTTCAGTCGCTGAAGCTTAGTAGAAACCAGCAGAACGATGATTGAAAACACAGCAGCAGATCTGCAACCGAGGGATGAAAAGATGTCCTGATGGTCTAGTCAAAGTAAAAACCTCTACCTGAATGAGACGCTCTGTAGGGAAGAGAAACAAGCTGAAGGGATGGCTGAGATAAGCAGATCTACAAGAAAAAGATTCATTTCATTAGCTTTTTTCCCAAATGTAATGATTATATCTATGCTATAATCTTTAAATGTCTGAATTTAATTAAAAACAATTTTAGTCTTTTATTTATGTATCTTAGTTTGTATGTTTTCCCTACAGGAAAACTATCTAATTTGATTGATCAGGTGCTTTAATCCTAATCCGAACCCCGGGTGAAATATTAATTAACTCTATCAAAATAATACGGAAATATGATTATATAAATATATTCACTGTGAAATCTGCAGATTTTAGTTACCAAAATATAATTAGTTAAATGCAAACGAAAATAATATGCTTGAGCATTTTCTGTTTAATGCTCACAGGACTTTTTAAATGAATCCTTTTGTTTGTTTTTCATTTTTAAGAGCACACGAATCATCAAATTAACTGAAACTGGGAATCACATCCTTTTGTTTAGAACCTGACAAACTGCTGTATCATTGTACAAAGTGTGGTTAAAAGTTGCTTTTTAAATTAACATTAAAACGTTTTTAAAGTTTTATTCTGTAGAGAAGCTCTGTTGTCCAGCCTGTCGTGTTCAGCACTGTGGACAGCTCCTGCTGATCTGCTGGGATTTGTAGTTTTTCTGCAGCTGATTGAACTGTTCTGGACACAGACTCCCATAATGCATTGCATTACTGTGTGTCCTGCTGGGGTGTTTTCTCTTCCTGCAAAGGTGTTACATCCAGAGTGTTTAGCTGTCATCAGAGTCTGATTCTGAACCTTCAAAATAAAAGCTTTCAGGCCTCAGTCGATGCAAAGATGCAGGTTCTAAACAGAATTATACGTTTTCTAAATATTTAATTGAAGAACCAACAAAGAAAATCTTTCCAGGCCACCTTGACCTTATATAAAATGTAATTATCTCCCAAACCCAATAACAGGTTCTTCCTCCTGAATTTTTTTCGTCACTGTGGAGAGACTTTGTTCTGCTCTGCTTTGCAGAAAATCTCCAGTTGGACACATTTCATGGTTTGTTCTCTAGCATGAACCTATCTGAGGTCATGCTACGATAGATCAATCAAAAGCACCTCTGACCTTTAACCTTCAGGGATTTGATTGCATTTAGTTTCTGCTGTAAAGCCTACAGCAGGTTGAGCTCGAGCCTAAAGTCTTTCCATGACAGTTAAACATCACGGCTGACTGATCTTCCTTCTAAAGGGTTTTACACCAGATCTACCTGGATGCTCACCTTCCAGAAAGTTCTCAAGGTCCAGAGAAATTTTTGGCGATCATGGAAGCGATTGTGACCTTAGTACCTTCTGATGGACGCCATGTTTTCCCAGGATCTCTCTTTTCTTGCTGTATCATGAACTTCGTCACCTCCTGGATGACCTGTCGGTGAGTTTTTAATGTATCTTTGGAAACGTTCTCCACTGTTCCATGTTCTCTGTTAGTGGATGATGGTTCTCACTTTGGTTCTCTTCAGTCCTGAAAACCTTCTGGCCTGAATGATGAAGTGCTGCATTGGAAGAACTCCTAGCCTCCGTCCTGATTTAATATTTATTTTCTTCTTCATTGATCTAATTAAGGGATCAACAACCTTTTCAAGATTAGAGCTGCTTAATTGGTCCTAGGAAGGGCTACTAATACTGACCCAGAAATGGAGGAGTCAGCGTTCACCTGAACTTCATGTATAATACATGCCGGGGGGGGCATTCACCATCAGGCAATACTAGGCAGTTGCCTAGGGCCCTAAGTACCTGGGGGCCCCATAAAACTTTGTTTATGTCATAATCGGTTTCACAAATCTCACCCACATGCAGAGAAACCACTTAGAGAACACGGGAAAAGGTTAACAGGTTTATTGAGGTGGCGTACAGGTGTTGGATCTGGTACTCAGTGAGCTGGTGAACCAGAAGTTTGAGGGGGGCCTTGTCAGTCCTTGAACCCAGTCTGTGTGGGGAAATCCAGAGAATGGTGCACGCATTGGAGGATGGACAGGTAGACAAGCGTTGGACCCAGAGGAGTAATGGAGCGGACTGTCACTCGGATTTCCGATTGGAACTTGAAGGGATCATGTGGAGGTTTTCCCCTCCTCAGTATGAACTCGGTATTTCCTTCCAGGGGGAGAAGGTCCAGGTATCCAGTAAAACAGGAAGTCTTCCTGCCGGGGAAACAAAAGACAAAAGAACATAAGTCTCAGAGAAATAACGTTAGGTTAGACTCAGCTAAGCTCAGCTTGGCTAGAGTACCCAAAACTGACAAACACTCGGGCCCCAAGGTAGTGACAGCCAACTGCTCAAATACTCCTCTAGATAATGATCCAACGAGTGTGCAGGGAGGCCAACGAGTACAGGGCGCCACCTGGTGGTGGAGGGAGAAAAACACACAAATAACCACAAAAACAGACCACACAACCAGACAGACAGCAGCGAACCATTTGAAAACAAACCATGCAAAGAGCAGTGTTGCCAACTTAGCGCTTTAGTCGCTATATTTAGCCACTTTTCAGACCCCTCTAGCACTTTGATTTCTAAAAAGCTCCTAGCGCCAAATCTAGAGACTTTTTTCTGCTACTGGAGACTTTGGAGACAACATCTAAAAGCAGCGAACTCTGCTCTCCAGAGCGAGTAGATTGGTAACCCCGCCTCCTGCTCTCCTCTATCTTGTCTGCTGTCATGAGAGAGGGACGAAACCTAGAACAGATGATGGATGTCTATTCTATTAACATTTCTCTATCTGTAGATTTCCTAAATCCGCCCCTGATTAGGAAAGAAGAGCAACAGAATAAAATAAGATTTCAGATTTTGTTTTCAGAAGATGAGGGCCCCCCAATGTGGTCCTTGAGGGCCCCTTGGTATCTGTGGGCACCGCGTTGGTGAACCTCTGGTCTAAGTTAAACTGACAGCTTCTCTTCATTATTAAATCCGTATTTAAACATCTGTATAAAAGCATACAATGCATCAAACAAAATAAAAAATCTGATTTTGGTTTATTCAGTAAATCTGTTTAATTTATTCCTATTTTTTTTCTTTGAATTTAAAAAGAAAAAAATGTAAAATATCAAATGTTATAGATATAAAAAAGGATTTAATTGAGCTTCCTCCTCCTTAGCTGCAGGATTATTATTTAAACTCTTATTTTTACTAACCGGATGTCTGCGCAGGCGTGCCTCTGAATGCGCGTCCCCGTCAGACTGAGACCAGCAGCTCCTCATCAGTCTGCGCTGGATCAGAACCTCCGCTCCGGATCCCGGAGCTGCAGGTCCGGTTCTCTGTCTGCAGCGGGACGATGCTTCCCTCCTGCTGCCGGGAAGCAGCTCTCTCCTCCGGCTTCCTCCGCCCCGTGGAGCCCAGGCTGCTCCTCTCCTCTGCGCGCTGAACTTGGAGCATCTGCGGGGATTAAACTGTTGTTTGTGTCCGGCTCTCCTGGTTCTGATCTCCTCCCTGAGGAAACCAGCCTCCTCCCTTATTGGGTGGAGAATTTTCCAGCCTGCAGGATTTTTTTTCTTCCTCCCTGTGGCTCCTGGAGGAGCAGAGCTTCTCCAGCTCCTGCTCTGTGATGGAGATGCTGTGAGGACGGAGCACCGCTGGGGGAGAGGATGGGAGGATAATCCTGCAGTGGGATTATATTTCCAGGCTCAGGCATGGAGGCTGAGCTTGGATGAGGGTCTGGAAGCAGCAGGAACTTTCCAGGCGATCAGGGAGATTGATCCACATCTGCCTCCAGAATCCATCCTGGAAAAGAGGAAGGCTGATCCACAGGTGAAGAGCAGAATTACTCCCAATCAGAACCAGGAGTTCATGAAACCCAAAGGAGAAAAGCTGCTGACGTCCAGGAGGATGAGTCTTTAGACCCGGATCCAAGCAGAGCCAGAAATCATCCAGATCAGTTCTGGTTCTGAAATGATCCACTTCATCCTCCAGTGTTCTGCTCTGAAATTGTCTTTAATTTAAATCAAAATATCATCATCATAGAGTAAAAACATGATGGAGAATCAGAGGAAACGTGCTTCCTGAACACAGAATGACCCGGTTCCTGCTGTGCTGACAGAACCAGAACCAGACCTTCATCATATTCAGAACCACCAGAAACAGGAGGAGGACGCCACGTCCCATCCCATGAGGGAGCATGACGGACCGGACCGCCCCGGGCTGCCGCCTCAGACTGGACTGGGTCTACGGGTACCGGGGCCACCAGTGCCGGAACAACCTGTTCTACACAGCAGGGAAGGAGGTGGTGTACTTTGTGGCTGGGGTGGGGGTGGTCTACAACACCAGGGAGCACAGCCAGAGGTTCTACCTGGGCCACAACGATGACATCATCAGGTAAGACCCCTGAAAAACGCAGACGCACCTGGACTAAGGTGCACATCATCTCAGAACCCAGAACAGGTTCTGATCAGGGGGGGATTTACCATCAGGCAATACTAGGTAGCTGCTTAGGGCCCCAAGTTCCTGGGGGCCCCATAAAACTCTCTATATATATGGTTAATACAACTGTTCATTATTTCTGCACATTAATTATGTTTTTGATAAAAATCCTTTGGCTAAAATGCCATCAGAACAAAGAAAAAAGCTCCTAGCGCCAAATCTAGAGACTTTTTTCTGCTTCTGAAGACTTTGGAGACAACATCTAAAAGCAGCGAACTCTGCTCTCCAGAGCGAGTAGATTGGTAACCCCGCCTCCTGCTCTCCTCTATCTTGTCTGCTGTCATGATTCATGCAGCTATTATTTCATCCAAATGAAAAATGGAGAACAGATAAGCAGATCATGGCTTGTCTACAGTGAAAAGAAGGACTGGGTTATTTACTTTGGCCTTTTTGGAAACACAGGAAGGAGCAATCAGCTAAGTGAGCTTAGTGCTTGGAAAAAATCTTTCATTCCTTTAGAGACAGCATGAAAAGTCAGCTGAGTACAAAACATAGAGAGGAAAACAAGAAGAAAAGGGACGAGAAGAGAGGGACACAACCTAGAACAGATAATGGATGTCTACTCTATTAACATTTCTCTATCTGGAGAATGGGGCTGTTCAGAGGGGCCCCCTGCCTGTCTTTGCCTAGGGCCCCAAATTTCCTAATTCCGCCCCTGATAAATGCAAGTGTGATTAGAGAAGACGAGCAACAGAATAAACTAAGATTTCAAACTTACCCAACTAGGCAGTTGTGCTGTTTTCAGAAGATGAGGGCCCCCCCCCATTTGTGCCTAGGGCCCCAAATTTCCTAACTCTGCCCCTGACTCTGATCTGATTTAAATCAGTTTAGGTTAACTAATGAATGGCACATCACATCAGCCAATCACAGCGCAGCAGTTTGAAGCATTCAGGCGTTTGAAGGTGAGGATCTGAAGCAGAGAGGAGAGCAGAAACAATCTGATAAAACAGTTAAAATCTAATTTCTCCTCCTGGAAATCCTGGGATCTTCCACCATAAACTGGTTCTTATTCTGACTGGTCTCTATGGTTGCATAGAAAACAAAACCCAGAGCGTGAAGCAGGAGGAGACGTGTTTACTGATTCAGCCTCAGGGCGGCAGAAACATTTTCATGTCCCAAAGGATTAAACCAAAGACAGAAATAAAAACCTTTTTTTTTTTAGTTTTCATTGATTTATGTTGTGATGAAAATGTTTCTGATGCTGCAGATAAAGAGTTCAATCATCTCCAGCCTTTCTGCTCTGACTGAGGACCATCAATGATTACAGGAATAACCCCCCCAGAGCAGGGAGAGGGGCCCTCACATGCAGAGGGGTCCACGTCTCCTCTGGTGCTACAGTTTAACGATTCTTAAAGGAAAAGTCGGTCAGCAGGAATAATCAATGGGTCATTATTTATACCTAAAACTAATACGCTCGCAGTGATTTCATGAATTTAGCGTTAATCTGTAAAAAAATGCAAATATTACTTTTGGTTGTCTGGGAGCAGCCATTTTTGCCCAGATGGCAGGAGGGAGCCCCTCCCTCCTGCCATCTTCCAGCAGTGACGTCACGGTGCGGTAAGCACTTCCACTGCCCGAACCTCTGCCTTTTTAGTTCTTCTGATGACCCAGAAGATAAGAAACCATCTGAACCCGTTTTGGTTTGAATATAGAAATAATTAATCATTTAGACCATAATTTGTCACATATCGCCCACTAAGGCATTGAAACCAGCCCATAATGATAATGATGAAGCACATCATGTCGTTAAGAAGAGGCAAAACATTTTAAAATGTACAAAGGAGCTAAAACTGCAACGTAAATAGGAGCTAGGTTATGATACCAGAGCAGACTGCTCTTTGTAGATGAAATAATTAAATTATAACTTTAATTATTACACCTGCAACCAGGCTTTTAACTAGGAATATTTCATAGGGCATACACCTTGGAGTAACACAGCCTATGTTGAAATTTAGACTCTGAAACGCTATTTCCTGCATCCTGAGGTGGAATGCAGCTAATGTTTTGTCTTTGTTCCAGCACTATTTTTATCCTAAATATATCATTTTTAGGTTCAATATTATGTTTCATAGGTTAATTCAAACAATGAGAAAGCCTGATGCTACGTTCGAACCGAACGCCATCAAAGAAGCTCCTGCTGCTTCATTTCTGATGCTTGTCCACATTAAAGCAAAACTCCATTCAGCAAGGAACGATCAATTCATCATTATTTATACCTAAAATTAATACGTTCACAGGGATTTAATGAATTTTGCTTTAATCAATAAAAAACAAAAAGAAAAAAATCTGTTGTAATCACTAAGTCTGGGAGCGGCCATTTTTGCCCAAATATAGTAGCCCCTCCCTCCTGCCATCTTCCAGCAGTGACGTCACGGTGCGGTAAGCCTAGCGCCATTCTCCCCGCTTTCCAAGCTAAATCAATGGGAACTACTAGACACATCTGCAATCAACAACAATTATTGAAGATTTCCAGAGGACTTCACCATTGAAATTCACCAGAGCTATAGTGAAACTGACAATGCCCACGTGCATGGCAGCTGGATGCTGTACAACGGAGTATTAGGGAAAGGCTAGAGATTTTTTTATTTTTTTTATTTCGAGAATAAAATGCTAGCATTATCAGAATAAAGTAATAATATTAAGAGAATAAAGTCGTAACATTATCGGAATAAAGTTGTATTTTATGACAACTCTTACAAGCAGCACCTTCTTCCCTAAAATGAGGAATGTGGAGCATCGTGTGAAGTTCTACTTTAGCATCGGTTTGACAAATCAGGAAATCTTTTAGCAGCAGCATCAAACTGGGCAAGATGTCAAAGTGGACTCTGGTTGCTGATTGGTGGGCTGGTCGGCCGTCATCTGCTGGGCGGAGCTCCAAGCTTTCTCTTTGATGACTTCATTCTTGAAATATTACGACTTCATTCTCGAAAATAAAGTAAAAACTTGAAGAGGGAGGATTTGCCATCGAACTTCTGGCCAGAGAAAAAACCCGTAATATGTAGCCAACATTTGGAAGAAGAATGTTTTCAAGATGACTTGGATAATAGCGCGTTGTGACAAACACCAGATACAGCACTGGGACTTGATCAACAGCCGATACCGCACCGTGACAATGTCACTAACCAGTAGGTGGCAGTAGTGTTCTTTGACAAACATGGATGCCTCCAGTAAAGCACATTCACATGAAAATGACTCTGAATTAAAAACACTGATCATTTATTGAACAGGATGGAATCATTTCACATTTAAAGAACTTTCAGAAGTTTGGATTCTGAATATGAGCGGACTGTGCAGAGGCGTATCTATGCTCTGTCTCTCTACATTTAGGATGCTGCTGAATCTGTGTGGTGAGTTTCAGGCTGTGATCCTCCTCCCACTGAGGGACACTTTGATATTTAACTGCAGACTCATCATGATCTGATGGCGGTTTACCTTCACCTTCAGTCAGGAATGACCTGTAACCTCATGATGCTAACTTACTTTGATGATGATGATGATGATGATTGATGATAACAAACCATGTTAGGAATGATGTAGATCTGTTTCTGCAGAGAGTCAGAGCTTCACAAACACAAAAATACTCTGAGTCGGAGCTGGACAGCAGGGACGGATTTAGGAAATTTGGGGCCCTAGGCAAAGACAGGCAGGGGGCCCTCTGGATGGAGAAGACATAAAACAGACCCATTCTACAGATAGAGAAATGTTAATAGAATAGACATCCATTATTCGTTCTAGGTTTCGTCCCTCTCTCATGACAGCAGACAAGATAGAGGAGAGCAGGAGGCGGGGTTACCAATCTACTCGCTCTGGAGAGCAGAGTTCGCTGCTTTTAGATGTTGTCTCCAAAGTCTCCAGTAGCAGAAAAAAGTCTCTAGATTTGGCGCTAGGAGCTTTTTAGAAATCAAAGTGCTAGAGGGGTCTGAAAAGTGGCTAAATATAGCGACTAAAGCGCTAAGTTGGCAACACTGCTCTTTGCATGGTTTGTTTTCAAATGGTTTGCTGCTGTCTGTTTGGACCTTTCTGAACATGTGCAGCAAATGGACTGATCCAATATGGTGGACACTGAAGGGGGGGGGGGGGGGGGGGGGGGCTGAGACACACTGAATATTATCAGCGTTATGATGACATTTTTTATCAAAAACATAATTAATGTGCAGAAATAAGGAATAGTTGTATTAACATACATGGAAACAGAGTTTTATGGGACCCTAAGCAGCTGCCTGGTATTGCCTAATGGTAAATCCCCCCTGAGTTCTGCATTAAACAAGTTGTTGGAGACATTGAGGTGTTTCTGCTTTAATCCAGTCCCACACAGCGTTTCATTTCTCACCAAATGACTCCAACTTATTAAAACAAAGGATTTCAGAGCAACAGTTACTGTCGCTTCGCCTTCACTCCTTTGGAGGAAATGAGTCTGATTCCAAAGTGCAGAAATGAGTCGAGCAGAAAGGCAGCAGAAGGGTCCTAGGGAGGAGGAGGAGGAGGATGAAGAGCTCCATCATTCATGGAAATACACACACACCTGGTGTTCAGGCTGTGAGTCATCACAGCAGCTCGGATAGTTTTTACAGCTGCAGCCTGGAGTGTACACAGTGTGTGGGGGGGTGTACTGTTTGTGTGTGTGTGTGTGGGGGGGGGGGGGGGGTTGGGGGGGATTATGGTTTGTGTGTTTGTTTGTGGGGGGATGGGGGGGGTATACCCACAGACTAATTGAAAAGCTGAATGCTGCCTCGGTCAGCAGAACGCTTCATATGACTGTTAGATTTGTGTCTGGGCCAATTTTTCCCTGCCAGCTGACTGCAGGTTTTTTAGCATCAGAGCGGCTAAACATTAAAATAAAATCCAAATGCTCCAGAAACACATTAACAAGGCCCAGAACCTTATAAAATAAGTGC